CTCACAGCACCAACCCCAATTGCTCCATGTCGTCAGTAGGTGCGAGCAGGGCCTGTGCCATCAGCACGTGGGAGTGGCAGTGGCAGGAATGGGGCTGCCAGCAGACAGGGAAACCCCTGTCTGCAGGCCTTTCTGTAATTAGTAGTATCATTTGGTCTGTGGTGGAAGGGGCTGGGCAGGGGCACAGAGGATGGGCTGAGACCCGCCCCTGTGCCCACCACAGCCTCAAGGTGCACAAATTTGTGCATTGGGCCTCTAGTTTTGTAATAAAATACATTTATCCATGTAGGTTAAATGCATGCTATTTTTTAAGGTAAGAGGACTAAAACATATCAAATTTTTGACATATAAAATTATTTTATATTAATATATCTTTGATGGTATTTTGCATTATAGTCTGTTACCTTGTTTCTCAAAAATGGACAAAAAAGGTTTTTAAAGGATCTAAATTAAGATAATAAAATTTAGCAAGTTTTTCAAGAATAAGGCTTGAGAACTTTGAGATCATTTGACAAATTTTGGGAATCTGAAGTAAGCATGTTTATTGTGCTGACATTTTTTTCTCAACATTTAATGTTCCTTTAGCAAGTATAGAGTTAAAACTTTACTGATTTTATTCTTGCTTTCAAGACTGAATTTATCTTTTCAACAATGCCTCAGAGTTGGTGGCCAATAATTGGCTCAGATTTGGTGGCCAAAGTTTAGTTCTGTAAATCAAATCATTATGTCCTAGAGGCATCAGATTATAAATTTTGTTTATGTTCTTGGAAATCCACTTCAAACTATGAAAGTACAAAAGTTAATTGCATACACACACGGGTGCATATGCAAACATTTATTAAGTACAAAAAGCCAAACTTGTTATATAAGCATTTTAGAACAAGAAGGGGAATCTAAAACCAGAAATAGAGGTGATTATACTTTAACATTTTTAAATCTGGGTAAAATATATATTGATTATACTATAAATCACCAATATTGACACAAGAAGAGTCAAATTACCATGACAGAAATTTTTTAAGTTGTTCAAGAATGACTTCCAGAAAGGTTTTGGGCCTAGCTGTTCTCCCGAAAATTTCTTCAAACCTTCCAGGGATATATAATTGCCAAGATATCTAAATTATTGCAGATCATCATAAAAGAAAGAAATTTCTTAATTCATGATAAGAAGTTAGTGTAGTCCTGAAAACCTGATAAATATAGGATAAAAATAGAAAGCTATAATCCAGTATACTATTAATAATGTTGCTAAAATTATAAATAAATCTTAGAAAATTAAATGCAGTAGCATAGCAAAATACCATATCCTGATTGCCAACAATTACTCTTGACTCACACAGTTCACATACTAAACATAATCCCATTAGTAATGCCTCTCATTACTGTAGTGATTTTTAAGGAAGGGCAGTAAATAGGGGGAGGAAATGGGTAGTTTGGAAAAAGAAATGTACTCACTTTTTCAGTCCCTACGAGGAGCCATTGCCCCATGGGCCCTAAGTATTAAAGGTTTAAAAATGCTTCTATTTTCCTCTCTGTTCTTTTCTGAATTTCCTAAATGCTTTGAAGTGTGCATATTTCATTTATAATTCTAAAAAACTAATTAGAAATACTCAGAAGGAAAACAAAAAAAGCAAACAAACGAAAATCAACAGCCACAACATCAACAAAAAACATAAGTGTTCCTGTGTGGTGATGGGAGTAGTAGAGACTTTAAAATATGAAACCAACCAAGTTTGGACCAAAGCCTCCTATTCCCATCAATATTTCTTCCCAGACATGGGCATTCTTCATTGCTCCAAGAGCCGTTAGACTGTGTTCAAATTAGGATCATCTGTCCCCAAGTTTAATCTGATGACCACTGTTCTCTAAAATGTTTTGAAAGCTGAGATCTGATGTCTTATTCTAAAACCTCCTCAAACTGAGTCAATCAAATTATCACCAACTTTAACCACCTTATCGGTGTTTCTCTTGACTTGGAGCATTATTGGCCAAGGTTAAGGTCATTTAGACATCATAAATAAAGATTCTGGTTATTACTCTAAGGGTCTTCTTTGTTATGAAAAGCTAACATACTAGCAATGGGTTCACAGTTCAAGCCAATGTAAATTGGAATTTATCTAAGACTGTGAATCTTTAAATCAAATTGCCCTAAGTTAAGAACTACTTAAATAAAATAGCTCTAAAATAGTCCCTTAGCAATTTCCACAAGTGAGAGATTTCCTCCTCTTCCTTTTCTTCCTCCTCTTCCTCCCCCTACCCCTCTCTCCTCCTCACGGTTTTCCTCCTCACCCTTTTCCTCCACTTCTGGCTCCTCTCTCTCCCTCCTTCCCTCCCTCTCTCCCTCCTTTCTTCCTCCTTTTCTCCCTCCCTCCCACCTCTATATACCCATATAATCTTTCCTACACTTTTCTTGGCCCTTCCCTCATCCCCAACAGCTTAGTTATCACTTTATATGAGTTTGGTTCATGTTCTCAGGATCCCCATAATAGTTAATCAAACTATCCTCAAACAGAGGTGGTTCCCTTTCTCAGAGAATCCTGGAGCCAGCTGTTAAAGTTATACAGTTTTATCCCTGCTACATTATATTTAACCAAGACACTGAAAAGAATGAGGTGATTTTTCAAGTTGTTTTTTCACCCTAATTCAAAAATAATTAACACCAATCATTTAATATCATCTAATATTAACACACTGGAGGCTGGGTGCATAAAATTTGTGCATGTGGGGAGGGTCCCTCAGCCCAGCCTGCAACCTCTCCAATCTGGGACCTCTCAGGGGGAGGGGGGATATCTGACTCACAATCCGGGACCACTGGTTCCCAACCACTCACCTGCCTGCCTGCCTGATCACCCCTAACCACTCTACCTGCTGGCCTGATCACCCCTAACCACCTCTGCCTCAGGCCCCCACCACCATGGCTTTTCTGGAACGAGAACTGGACAACTGGAAGATGTCCTGTCTGGTCGACCCAGTCTAATTAGCATATTACCCTTTTATTAGTATAGACTAGAGGCCCAGGGCACAAAATTCTTGCATGGGGGAGGGGTCCCTCAGCCCGGTCTGCACCCACTCCATTCTGGGACCCCTCAGGGGATGGTTCACTGGCTACATCCCTTTCGCAATCCAGAATCACTGGCTCCTAACCGCTCACCTGCCTGCCTGCCTGGTCCCCCATAACTGCCCTCCCCTGCCGGCCTGGTCACCCAACTGCTTTACCCTGCCTGCTTGGTCACCTCTAACTGCCCTCCCCTGCCTGCCTGGTCCCCCATAACTGCCCTCCCCTGCCGGCCTGGTCACCCCTATCTGCCTCTGCCTAGGCCCCGCCACCCTGGCTTTGTCTGGAAGGACATCCAGAAGGATGTCCAGAAGATGTCTGGTCTAATTAGCATATTACTCTTTTATTAGTATAGATTACTCTCCTATATAACCTCTAAGTGGACTGAGGTATGAAATCTCCATTAAATGTCTTGAAAATTATTTGTATTTTTAACCATACATAGAAACTCTGAAACTTTTTTTAAACAGTCAAATGTTGCATTCAATAAATGATTTAAAGTATGTTTTCAAAGTGGAAGAAAGTTTAAAAGCTAAGAACCTTGTATGTGTGCCACTTTTTGTAACGAACATGGGGAAGAAGGTTCAGTCTTGCCTTTATTTAAAAGACCTTCCACATAAGTCCTATGTGTTGATGTAGATCACCTCGTTGAAGAATGTCAGTTTATGGTTTCAGGAAGAAAATGAAAATAAATTCTAGTTCAAAATTACTTCTTAGGAAACAGGCTGCTACTGCCACCTGGGGGAGGTTCTTCCTACTTCATTCAAGAAAAGCCAAATGTGCTTGTCAGATGAATGAATCCAGTTCACGTTTTCCTTGTCATATTCACACAGGAAGAAGACTTTAACTTTCTGCCCATGAAATCATAAGGCCTTCCAGATGCCTGCGTGATTCCTCCATGCAGAAATACATATTTCACAGAGTGTTTGAGGAGTACAGGAGAAGCTTAACCAGAATATAACCACATAAAGGTTTTACCTCTTGCCCTATCCAGTTTGGCTCAGTGGATAGAGAGAGCATCGGCCTGTGGACTCAAGCGTCCCAGGTTCGATTCCGGTCAAGGGCATGTACCTTGGTTGTGTGCACATACCCACTAGGGAGTGTGCAGGAGGCAGCTGATTGATGTTTCTCTCTCATCGATGTTTCTAACTCTCTATCCCTCTCCCTTCCTCTCTGTAAAAAATCAATAAAATATATTTAAAAAAATAAAAAAAGGTTTTACCTCTTACACACAAGAAAGTATCTTGGAAAAGTATGGGTTATATACTAAGAAGTGGGAAAATCAAATGTAATCATTCAGTAATGAAATAAAACCCCCATTTTAATAAAAATGTATTTGTCTTCAAGTTATAGTAAATTATACTCATTGACTATCATTAATTGACATGAAAACAGCATGTGTTAATATAATCATGCTAGTGACTGTATTAATTAAAATAGAAGAATAAATTTCAATTATATGGATCTAGCCAAGAGTTTCCTTAAAGAATTTTTGAATTTATGAACTTAATACTGTTATGAAGTCAGTGCTTATTTATTTCATATATATTACATATCAATTTATTGCAATTTTCATAAAGTAATGGTATTCATTACTTACAATGGAAAAAATATAGCTGTGCCTTTTGAATGTCTAGTTTCTGTCTAGACATTCTGTTTTTAATGTCTAGTTTGTGTTAAACAGAAACTAGACATTGCATTACTTTAGGCTATAGAAAAATTGTTACTATTAACAATGTCCTAAAACAAAGAATTTAATTCTAGCTATAGAAGTTTCAGAAAGTACCTATTGAAATTACAGGTCTGTCAGGTGACAGAAAAACTCAGTGCTGATAAAGACAATTAATCATTTATAGAGAGGATCCTAGTAAAAGATTAACTACTAAATAAATTACATACAGTATCAGTCCCAGCGTGGTACAATAATAATGTTAAAAGTCTAAAGTTCATACCAAAGAACACCTGTACCAGCTCAAGGGAAGTCTTTGTAGAAAAAGAATTTTTAACATTGGAAAAGGTACGTGATATATATATAGCAAATTGATTGGGATTTCATAGATATTATTTTTTAAATCACACATCTGATTCAGGAGTAAAAAAATAATCTGACTGATTAAATTCCAGCCAACAGAGCTGAATGATCTGGGTGAGCTGGGGTCACTTTGAGGGACCCCAAAAATTAGTGTTTTGGTATGGAGGTGTGAGGTTCCTTCAAGGTGTTAATGTTAGGGTCTGGGTAGACTAGGGTGAGGGGCATTAGAGGACAAGAAAGGCCAGAGGTACTTTCTCTATATATAATACAGAAACTGTATAATAAAAATAAAACTTATAAACAAAAATAATAAATATGCAGTTTAAAATGTCTATTTCTGAATCGGTAGTTGAGCACTTTTGGTACTTGGCCAATAGCACTGCCTCATTGATCTAATGAAAATGAAAGATGACTCTGTAATGCTATTAGGGGTTTCTGTTCTGCATAAAAGATAAACTACAATTTAGGGGAGTTGTAAATGGAATAGAGTCTCCCAAGGTTCTTCCTCCTAACTGAACTGCACAATCTGTTGGACTTTACTTTCTTCTTATTTTTTAATATGTTTTTATTTATTTCAGAGAGGAAGGGAGAGGGAGGGAGAGATAGAAACATCAATGATACGAGAGAATCATTGATCAGCAGCCTTCTGAATGCCCTCTGTTGGGGATCAAGCCCCCAGCCCAGGCATGTGCCCTGATCTGGAATTGAACTGTGACCTCCTGGTTCATAGGTGAGCGCTCAACCACTGAGCCACACTGGCAGGGCTGGACTTTACTTTTTTTATTGAGAAGTCAATGCTTTACCATGGTGAGCCATGGAAATGATTTATTAATTACTAGAGGCCCAGTGCACGAATTCCTGCACAGGTGGGGCCCCTCTGGGTGAGCCCTGTGTCTGGTGCCCTGTGGGATCTGTTGAAACTGGCTCTCCGACATCCCCCAAGGGGTCCTAGATTTCAAGAGGGTACAGGCCAGGCTGAGGAACCCACCAGTGCACGATTGGGCAGAGGAGGGGAGCGAGAGGTTGGCCAGCCGGGGAGGGACCATGGGAGGGCTCCAGGGCATGTCCAACCCATCTCGCTCAGTGCCAATCAGCTGGACCCCAGCAGCAAGCTAACCTACTGGTTGGAGCATCTGCCCCATGGTGGTCAGTGCACGTCATAGCAAGTGGATCAGCGGTCTTAGCATATCATTAGCATATTATGCTTTGATTGGTTGAACAGTCGACCTGTCACTGGACGATTGGACACAGCATATTAGGCTTTTATTATATAGGATATTCTAACAGAAATTATAAGTCATTCTCATTTTCATCAGGATGTCACCTGGTTGCAACAAAAGTAAACAGAAACAGGTTTTCTTTAACATTATTCATGTTTCATAGGAGAGAAGCAGTCAGGAAGTTAGGAAAGATGATTTCTTGCAGATGCCACTTGTGTATTCAAGCAGTGGGAAGGTGGGGAGGTGGGAAGGTGGGGGGCATTGTTTAAAATGCAAGAAGGGGGGTTTCTTCCACTGTTGTGTTTCTACTTCTCCTCCAAGAGTGAATAATTTTCAAATACTGCTGCTAGCTTTGAACTTTGGAACTTCAGTACCCATTCCTAAACCAACTCACTTACCACATTGATGAGTTAATATGGTTTACATTATTATGTCATCTAGTGGTTTGTTTGTTTTTCTCATTGTCCTATAATTCTTGCTTCCTCTTCCTTTCCTTATCTATATTTGACTTCTCTCTCCTCTTCCATTGGAAACTACTAATATTATTTCAATCTTCCCTCCTCACTGGGGTGTGTCCACTTTGGTGAATCACTCCTGCACCCTTTAGTCACTATGAATGAGAGTAAGCAAATTAAAGGTAATGCTTGGAGTGCTCTGGACATTGCATTACTTTAGGCTATAGAAAAATTGTTAATATTAACAATGTCCTAATTATTCGGGCCGGGTAAGAAGCTTTAGATGGGTGAACATAGAGGCCTACCTGCTTATGCTAAGCTTTTGGTTACTTATAGCCATGACGGACTCCAACAAGATGATCATCAACTTGGCCCTGTTTGGCATGACTCAGAGTGGAAAAAGTTCTGCTGGCAACATTCTTCTAGGAAGCACTGACTTCCACAGCAGCTTTGCTCCATGTTCTGTGACCAGAGAGTGTAGTCTGGGCCGCAGTTGTCACCTCCATGGCTTCATGCGTCGAGGGGGGCAAGAGGTAACCCTGCAGGTCCGGGTGCTGGACACTCCAGGTTATCCGCACAGCAAGCTGAGCAAGGCACGTGTGAAACAGGAGGTGAAAGAGGCCCTGGAACATCACTTTGGGCAAGAGGGTCTCCATCTTGCACTGCTGGTCCAGAGAGCAGACGTGCCTCTCTGCGGACAGGAGGCATCTCCCTCAGTCCAGATGATCCAGGTAATACATGGAGGCAATTATGAAGCAGTGCTCTCTCTCTCATTCTCTCTCTCTCTCTCTCTCTCTCTCTCTCTCTCTCTCTCTCTCTCTCTCTTTCTCTCGAGCATGCCCCATGCCTTTCTCCCTCTCTTTCCCTGAAGCATGTTCTCTTTGCCTTTCTTTTCTGTAAGCTCCAAGGGCCTTTCTTTTGCCTCTGTAACTCATGCTCTGAGCCCACACAGCTCAGCTGGCTCACCTTTTCTACATCTATGACTTTCTAAATAAACTTTCTCTTATAATTTGAAAAAAAACTGATTAAAAGAGTAGTGTAAAGCAAATTTAAAACAAGTCATTTAAAACAAGTGCTGGAATTTAGTCAGTTATAGGGCATTGAAAAAAAAGAGAGAGATATTAAACTTTAGAGGCTAACTAAGCCTCAAACCCCTAAGAACTATACAGCTGAATAAGCTTGTTAATGTGGACCCCAGACTCTCTCCATCAGAATCAACGGGGCTCCTTGTTGAAAGTGCAGATTCATCCAAGCCCCTTTGAAACAAAATCTCAAAAGTGGAGCTTATATAACTGTACTTGCATAAACTTTCCATATATTTCTTTTTTAAATTAATCTTTATTGTTGAGATTATTACAGATGTCCCTCTTTTTTCCTCCCATAGCTCCCCTCCACCCAGTTCCCACCCCACCCCAGGCCCTCACCACCCTATTGTCTGTGTCCATAGGTAATGCATACATGCATATAAGATCTTTGTCTAATCTCTTCCCACACCCCCACCCCACTCCCTTCCTTCTGAGAATCATCAGTCTGTTCCATTTCCATGTCTCTGATTCTATTCCATTCAGCAGTTAATTCTGTTCATTGGATTTTTTATTCATTTGATTTTTAGATTCACTTGTTGATAGATATGTATTTATTGTCACTTTGTTGTTCATATTTTTTATCTTTACCTTTTTCTTCCTCTTCTTAAATGCTTTAGCATTTCATATAATCCTGGTTTGGTGGTGATGTACTCTTTTAGCTTTTTCTTATCTGTGAAGCTCTTTATCTGACCTTCAATTCTGAATGATAGCTTTGCTGGGTAATCTTGGTTGTACGTTCTTGCTATTCATCACTTTGAATATTTCTTGCCACTCCCTTCTGGCCTGCATAGTTTCTGTTGAGAAATCAGCTGACAGTCATATGGACACTCCCTTGTAGGTAACTATCTGTGTTTCTCTTGCTGCTTTTGAGATTCTCTCTTTGTCTTTTGCTCTTGGCATTTTAATTATGATGTGTCTTGGTGTGGTCCTCTTTGGATTCCTTTTGTTTGGGGTTCTCTGCACTTCCTGGACTTGTAAGTCTATTTCTTTCACCAGGTAGGAGACATTTTCTGTCATTATTTCTTCAAATAAGTTTTCAATATCTTGCTCTCTCTCTTCTTCTGGCACCCCCATAATTCAGATGTTGGTTCACTTGAAGTTGTCCCAGAGGCTCCTTACACTATCTTCATTTTTGGGATTCTTTTTTCTTTTTCTTTTTTCTCTTCTGGTTGGGTGTTTTTTGCTTTCTCAAATCATTGATTTGATTCTCAGGATCTTCTAGTCTACTGTTGAATCCATGTATATTATTCTTTATTTCAGTCAGTGTATGCTTAATTTCTGACTGGTCCTTTCCCATTTTTTTTTTTTTTTTTGGCATTCTCACTAAGATCCTTGAAAGTCTCACTAAATTTCTCAGTGGTTTCTAGAAGATTCTTGATTAACCTTATAATTGTGGTTTTGAACTCTATATCCAGTAGTTTGCTTTCTTCCATCTCTTTCATTAGTGACATGTTTTTTTGTCTCCACATTTTGGTTGTTTCCCTATGTTTGTTTCTATGTATTGGGTAGCTGCTAAGTCTCTTTGAGTTGCTAGAGTGGACTTCTGTAGTAGGTGTCCTATAGGGCCCATTGGCTAGGTCTCACCAATCACCCAAGATGGACACTCTTGGTGCACCCCTTTGTGGGCTGTGTGCACAGTTTTGTTGTAGTTGAACCTTGATTGCTGTTGGTGTTACTGGGAGGAATTGACCTCCAGGCCAATTGGCTGCAACTATGGGAGAGCTGCTATGCAGGAGACACCCCTATGGAGCAAGACTTGCTTCAGTGGGGTTTTGGTGCTCACTGAATCTGCCCCTTGAGTGTGTCACTTATGGATGTGAAGAATTGTAATCTGGTATGGTCTCAAACTGATCACTGGTAAACTGGCTCTTGGGTCTCCAGGGAGGTGCAAAGTCAGCCACTGCCTGGGGCCACCCAGCAGAAGCCACAGAGAAATCTGCAGATTCAACTTCTTTGTATCGGGTTTGGAAGTGCCCTGATGAGGCCTAGCTGTGAAGCAAGGCAGGCTGGTGCTGGTGCAGGTTTTGGGGACTTTTATTGAAAGGTTTTGAGCTCCCTGATGCAGCTGCAGCTTGTTTGACAGGTTTTTAGGCCTAGAAAGGACAGACCATTCATATGCAAAAGCTGCTACACACAGATTGGGTGGGGTTGTAAATTGGGTAGGGCAGAGTCTCAAGGAATCACTAGGGCAGAGAAAACAAAAATGGCTACCAGTCAGCCCTGCACAAGGAAGTCCCAGCACAAGAACAATGACCACTCTGAGCACCTTCATCTGGAAGAAAGCTGCCCGCATTCCTGCCCCAATGCCAGACAGTCCAGTTTCTCCCCATATGTGTCTGGGTCCCCCAGAGCCTCACCCGGCATTGGAGTTCAGAGGAAGTGAGAGCTTGTAAATTCAGTTTGTGGTGTTGGCCTTTTTTTTATTTATTTATTTATTGATTGATTTTAGAGAGGAAGGAAGAGGTAGAGAGAGATAAAAACATCAATGATGAGAGAGAATCATTGATTGGCTGCCTCCTGCATGCCCCCCACTGGAGACTGAGCCCACAACCCGGGCATGTGCCCTTGGCCAGAATCAAACCCGGTACCCTTCAGTCCGCAGGCCGATGCTCTATCCACTGACCCACACTGGCTAGGGTGGTGCCGGCCTTTTAAGAGAAGCAGCTGGGTCTCCAGCAGCCTGTGTGTCACTCAGCCCCAATCCACTGGTTTTTACAGTCCGTAGTTCTTATGGCCTATAGGGATTTCTTTCCCCAGCTATGGGACCCTAAGCTGGGGGTCTGGTCTGGTCTGGGGCTGGAACTCCTTGCTCCTCCAGGTGGCCTCCAAAGAGGCGATCTCCCTCCTGATTAAAAAAGCAGCACACACAGGTGCCAAACCAGCCCTTTCCATGCTTCCACACCTCCTACCAGTCTCAATGTGCTTTCTTCTTTACTTCTCTACTTGTAATACTTCCACTCAGCTAGCGTTCCCATGGTTCTGGATGATAGTTGTTCTGTATTTTAGTTGTAATTTTGATGCGGTTGTGGGAGGCAGCAAGTACAAGCATTTACCTATGCTGCCATCTTGGTTCTCTCCATATATTTCTTAAAAATGGTTAAGTTTCAGAACTACTGAACTAAAATACTGAGTTGCATCCATATAACATCTAGGAGACTAGCAGAGTTCACCAACAAATTGGTATTCATTCACTCATTCATTGAACACTATTAATAGCAGCACAGATCATAATGATTGGTGAGTAATATATGAGACTTTTCATCAAAAAAGCTTAGAGTCTGGAAGAAACAAATAAACAAGTATAAGGCAATGCATTAAGTGCTGAAGTAGTGTAATGTATGACTAGGGGAAAAGGAGACTCCACTGAGACTTACATCATGGTAAATATTCAGGAGAGATCTATACTCTAGTTATGGGACAGAAATCAGGAATTTTAGATACTTTGGTTGCCTCATAATCGGTAGGGTCAGTCAGAAACCGCCCCATTCCAGCCTTGAGAAGACCAAGGGGACCTCAGGGGGGACATGAATGGCATGTGCACGCTTGCCTTGTGGTCTTTGTTTGTTCATCCTAATATTTAAAAAGCCAGGGGCCATCATGACCTAAATGACTGAATGGGCGACCGAACAAGAGGCTGCATGGGGCGACCAGGCCGGTGGGGGGCAGGGCAGTGAGGGATGACAAAATGACTGGGCCCTGGTCCCCAGCTGGGGTGCAGTGGTGGGAGGGAGCTCTGGGCCCTGGCCGGGGCATGGTGGAACTCTGGGTCTCCCACGATCGGGAGTGTGGCCGGCCTTCAAACCGGGGCCCAGAGCTCCCTATCACCACCGTGCCCCAGACAGTGCTAAGAGCTCCCTCCCACTGGGGCGCAGCGGCGGAAGAAGGCTATGGGCCTTGGCCAGGGTGCGGCGGAACTCTAGGTCTCCTATAATCAGGGGTGTGGCTGGCCTTCAAACCCGGGGCCCAGAGCTCCTGTCACTGCCGTGCCCCAGCCAGGGCTCAGAGCTCCCTTCTGCTGCCACTCCCCAGCAGGGGGAGCAGTTAGGAGTGACCCAGCTGGCAGGGGGGGCAGTGAGGGGCAAACAGGCTGGTGGGGAGGCAGCAATTAGGGGAGACCAGCCTGGCAGGGGGGGCAGCTGGGGGTAACCAGGCCAGCTTGGAGACAGGGGTGACCAGGCCGGCAGCAGGGGGTAGTTAGGGGCAACCAGGCCAGCAGGGAGGCAGGGGGGGGGGGCAGTTGAGTGCGACCAGGCTGGAAGTGGGGCAGTAAGGAGCGATCAGGCCAACAGGCCAGTAAGCGTAAGTTAGGAGCCAGCGGTCCAGGATTGTGAGACAGATGTCCAACTGGCAGTGGGGCATCCCCTGAGGGGTCCCAGGTTGGAGAGGGTGCAGGCTAGGCTGAGGGGAACCCCCCCTCCCATACACGAATTTTGTGCACTGGACCTCTAGTTTATTATAAGTTACTAAGGTGGAGGCTTATTCAGCCAGGCTAGGAAAGGGTCTTGGGGGAGGGGAGAGGACCTGGGTATGGCCACAGCTCTCTGTTCTCTGTGAGCTGATTGAGTTGATAGAATGGCCTTGTGTAGTAGGTGTCCCATAGGGCCCATTGGCTCGGTCTCTCCAATCACCATGGACACTCTGGTGCA